TACTTTATTTTTTAACAATAAATTATCAATTAAAAAAATTAATTCAAATTAATCAATTTAATAAATAAAAAATTTAAATTGTTATAGTGAATTTTGCGCTTATACTAAAATATAAAAAAATATAAATTTATATTAAATTATATAGTATTCATTTAGACCAAATAAGGATTCAAATAATACTAAATATAAAAAATATAAATTTATATTAAATTATATAGTATTCATTTAGACCAAATAAGATTCAAATAAAATCGTTAATATTTCATAGAACTTATGAATAATAACAAAAATTTCAATTTTTTACAAGTTTGGCCAAATAAGAAAATTATTATATATGATATTATAAAGAAATTTTGCTTCACAATCTTTAATCAAGTGGTTTTACTTAATAAAATAAGTCATAACTTTTGAAACTAATTTTAGGTAGGTGAGAATACACGGTCACTTTAATTTAAAAATACACCGAAGTAAATCAAAATTAAAGTGAATTTTCAAAATGAAAACAGCCTCAAATTAAATATAGTTCAAAATCTAATTAGTTCAATCGGTTTTGCATGCACTTTTAGGATGGTCAATTTAAACCTTTCACTAAAAACAAAAACCGAATAAAAAAATTCAATTTATCTGTGCAAACTAAAAATCAACTTAAATCAGTTTTACCCGATATTTTATTATCCTTAAAATTAGAAAACATCCCTAAAATTACAAAGAGATATAAGTTCTCTTTTGTTGAAGAAATCTTAGACCATTAATTAATATAATATTTAATTAATTAATCTAATAATAATATTTTTGAACATATTTAATATTTTTGAACATATTGAAAAACTCCAACTGAGTGCAAAATTGACAAAGTATATTGTAGAATTCGTTTTCGTAACTTATCATTCTCTTTCTCTCTCTATTCTTTAGTATCTGACAATGGGATAAATGGTTAAATGTGTGTTACATATATTTTACACAATATATTTTACACAAATATATTCAAAGGAAGATTAAAAGAAATATCAAATTTCACATAAACTATTAGATCAATTAAATATTTATTATTTTTATTATTGTATGAGATTTTTTTACCTTTATTGCCATAATCCAATCATTTCTAAGAGTATTATAAAAGAAAAATATCACATATTCTTTTTGACAATAAAAAAAATATTAGGTAACTATTTTTTATCTTAGATAATCATCTATAACAAAAAGAAAGTGAAGGAAAAAATTAATTAAATATTCTCATATACACCACTTTATCATTTATTATTTTTCCATAGAAAGAACTATATAAAAAAAAATAACAGAATATTATATTGTAATATAATTGTTCAAAAATTATATTAAAAATTTTATTCTATTTGAAAATTTATTTGTTAAAAAATATATCCAATCAAATTCATAACAAATAGAAAGAAAAAAGAGTAAATTAATTAAAAAATACATTTTTTTTCTTTGTGTATCTCCCTTCCTAAATAAAATACTTTAATTATATTCAAAATTGAAATTTAAATAAATAATAAATTTCAAAAATAAAATTATAAAAAATTTCAAATGTCTTATTTATCATTACTATATTTATTAAAAATAAATTTAAAAAAAATAAAATTATATCCAATCAAACTTAAACTATAATGTTTTTTAATTGGTCATCATTAAGACTATATTTTAGAACATTTCAAAATTTCATTAAGGGTGATATAGGTAATCTCATTATTCCCCCCTCATTCCCACTTCTATATATAGTATAGATTATAATTATAATTAAATCTAATTCTTAAATTGTGTCTTTGCTATAAATGGAACAATTTAATTTTGTGCATTGCAATTTCTTTGGATAGCATAATTAGTAGCATCATAGAAGCAACTAATTATGCTAGAATTTCAACATTTGTTTTTGTTAATGAGTCAACATTTGTTAATGAGTCAAAAAATAAAAAAGAAAAAAAAAAGAGAAAAATGTTAGTTTTTGACTTTTGTTACAAATTTACAATTATATCAAGCTAAACATAAATAGGTATCAGTTAGTTAATTTGAATTTTATTTCAAGTGACAAATCAAGTCTGACTTTAAAATTATTTTACATATATAGACACACAGAAAAAAGAAAAAAAGAAGAGAAAAACAACAAAAAACAGAGAGGAAATTATAGCTTAAAAAATTGAAAAGAGCTTTTTTGTAGATGTTCCAAGTAGCGCATTTGATTCTGGTGCAACAGAAGAGATCTCTTCTTTCCACTTGGCATGCAAATGCACCATCTGCTTATTCATCATTTCTTATTCATCATTTTATTTACCGAACAAAGTCCAAAGTTCATCATGAAATAAAAATCTTGTTAATTTGATAAGAAGACAGATATTAAAACTTACCTTTAGAAAGCAATTCCATTCACTAATTTCTTCTTCTTCTTCTTCTACTTTGATAAGATATACAGGTGTTGTTGATACTTCTTTTCAGCCTTGGATGTCCTTCACCTTCAATCAGCTTCACCAACCAAGCAGGTTTTCTTGTTCTGAACACAAGTTATCCAGTGCGAGACCAAACACTGCTCCAAAATGCCATATCCCGTGAAAACAGATTTCCATCCAAAATCCATTTTTGATCAGAGTTTGAATCTTCTTCGCCTGATGGGTCGTGACTTGTTGCTTCACCCAGAATTACAAGCCTTTTGCAGTGGAAATCCACCAACAGTCTTGAGTTTTCCTTATACGAGCTATTAGCAAATGTGTTGAACTGAGGGCCTGTAGGTATGGGCTCCTTCAAGTTGATTATGCGAAACTTCCGAAATACTTCGAGGGATGTCAAAGTTGCCAATTGGATAGAATCCTTGCCAGTAAGATTATTTGAAGAGAGGTCTAAAGTTTCCAGATTGTTCAAATTTCCTATGATGGTTCAATATTTGCCTGTGAGATGATTATAGAGACATGTTTGAAGCTGCTTAAGTGCTTTAAGCTTTCAACTGACTTGGGAAGTTTCCTGTGAAGTTATTGCCTGACAAATCAATGGTTGTTAAAAGAGTTTGGATTTTTTCACCAACTCAATGTACAATCCTTTCAAGTCAAGCTCACAGAATAAGAATAATCATAAGAGGAGTAGTTTGGTGATCCCATGTATGTCATATTCTGATCAACATTGATCATTGCATCGAAATTATTGAAATAATATGAAGGCAAAGGTCCGCTAAAATTGTTGTTGGAGAGGTCCAAAATCCGTAGCTTGGGAAACAGATAGTTGGCAATGGAGTGGCTTTTCACCAAACCATGGAGTCTATTGGATCGTAGCTGTAGAATCTGCAACTTTGGAAGAGTTTATAGAAAAGAAGGGAATGCGTCCTCTATCTCATTGTTGCCCATATCTAAAATTTCCAAATCTTTACAATTGGAAATAGACATTGGAATTTTCCCTTGCAGTTGGTTGCCATTGAAATTCAAATATCTCACGTTACTGCATTCTGAAAATACTTAGGGGAGAACTCCATTAAAGTTGTTCATACCCAGATGTAATACTGAAAGGCTACTGCTGAAGTTTCCCAAACATTGTGGAATGGGACCACTGAAATTGTGACCACTGAAATTGTTACTCGACAGGTCAAGGGATTTGGAGTGATTTTAACTAACAAACTGCAGAAGGAATTTCTCCTGTCAATTTCTCATTTGATAAAGAATGAGAAGCGTCAAGTTTCCAGCTGATTGAAAACTGTCAATTTCTCATTTGATGAAAGAATGAGAAGCGTCAAGTCCAGCTGATTGAAAATTGAGCTTGGAACTGTGCCAGACAACTTGTTATGGCTCAGATAAGCATATTTTAATGTACTATTATATTTGAATTGACATACTTGACCAGTGAGCAAGTTATTAGACAACCGCAAGTACCATAGGCTAGAGAGCCTACAAATATCTGAAGGAATTGGACCACTAAAATTATTGTATGAAAGGGACAAATATCGGAGTTGGTTACAGTTTCCAATGAAAGATGGAATTGGACCATTGATATTGTTGCTTTCCATACTTAAAATGGAGAGCTGACTAAGGCTTGCAAATGAGGGAGGAATTGGGCCACTAAAATTATTGTATGAAAGGACCAAATATCGGAGTTGGTTACAGTTTCCAATGAAAGATGGAATTGGACCATTGATATTGTTGCTTCCCATATGTAAATAGAAGAGCTGGCTGAGGTTTGCAAATGAGGGAGGAATTAGGCCAATAAAATTATTGCATGAAAGGTTCAGGTACTTGAGTTTGTCAAGTTTTCCAATTGAGGATGGAAATGGGCCACTGAAATTATTGTGTGCAAGATCCAATGCAATTAGTTTGGATAGATTACCAAACAATTCAAGATTAGACCCTATAAAATTGCAACTATTGAGTTCCAATACTTGCAACAACTTCAAATTCTTGAAGAATTCATTTTCTAAATAAATTGGAATTTTAGTCGAAGAAAGTGACAAGTACGTGAGTGAGATACTCCAATTTGATATAAAAAGTGAGCTAGTGAGACCTTCATTCCTTGATAAATCAAGGATTTCAAGGTTTGGAAGTTGAATTGTATTGTTTGGAAATATTCCTCTTAATCCAGAAGATGAAAGTGTGAGAGATGACAAAGAAGAAGATAAATTGATAAATGAATTAGGTGAAACCAAAGAGAGATTTGTACTCCCCAAGTCCAACTCTTGCAACTTGGTAAAGATTCGAACAAGCTTGTTAAAGCTAGTAGTTGTTTGTATTAAAAGACTGTTCCAAGAAAGATCAAGAGAAATCAAATTAGATAGTTGACCGATTTCTAATGGAATTTGACCAACGAAATTATTATTCGATGGGTCCAACTCAATGAGTTTTGATAAATTACCAAACAATGCAAAATTAGACCTAATGAAATTGCAACTTTCAAGTTGCAGTGATTCCAGCAAATTTAGATTTTTGAAAAATTCATTTTCTAAATATACTAGAATTTCAGTCCGAGAAAGAGACAAATGGTACAGTGAAAGACTCCAATTTGACGATGGAAAAGAGTACGCTAAGTCTAAGACTTCGAGATGTGGAAGCTGAATTATACTGTCTGGAAATTTCCCTCTTAACCCAGAAGATGAGAGTCTGAGGGAGGACAAAGAAATAGATAAATTGATAAAGGAATTAGGAGAAACGAAAGACAGGTCTGCACCGCTCAGGTCCAATTCTTGCAACTTGGTTAAGTTTCGAATAAGTTTTTCAAAACTAGCAATTGTTTCTAATGTCAAACGAAAGTTCTGGGAAAGATCAAGAGAAACCGAATTGGATAGCTGACCGATTTCTAATGGAATTTGGCTATCAAAGTTTGAATGATTTAGATTGAGGTGTGTCAAGCTCAACAAATGGCCGATTTGAGATGGAATTATGGAGCCTCTGAAATTATTGCAAGAGACATCTAGTTTTTGAAGATGATGAAGAGCGAAAAGAGAATTATTAGAATGGAAGTTATCGTAAAGCATACTGCTAGAAAGGTTAAGCCCAATCACATAGCCAGTATTAAAGTCACAGCTGACACCATCCCAAAAGAAGCAACAATCCGTGCCCTCTTTCCATGAATCTCTTTCCATGAATGGTGTCTTGCCATGAATCTGTCTTGGGATAAGATTTAAATAAAGGATCATAACTCCTCCTAATGGAGAAGGAGTTTTTGAATTGGAGCAAGGCATTGCTTTGATCAAGCTGGCAAACTGCATTTGAGAAAGGGGAATTTGTAATATTTGAAGAATGAGATTGAAAACAGAAGTGAAATAGAAGGAGGCAGAGAAATTGAAAATGCCACAGTAAGCAACCAAATCCCATGTTTTGTGTTTGCCAAATTTAATTATGATCAATTTCAGCATATATCACGCCCTATTTATAGACCATATGATCAATTTTTTTTTTAATTATTTTAAACATTCGCTCTTTAATTTTTTTTTTATAATTATTTTAAACATTCGCTTTTAGATTTTCTACCACTTTAAGTGCAAGCAGCCACTTGTAATTCTATTCTATTTTATTATATTATAAAAATTACACTATACCTTTTGTTTCATAATTTCTTTTAATAATCTTGAATTTCTTTTAATAATTAGAATAATTTACTGTAATTATTTTTAACAAATGTGGATTATATAGATTGGTGGAGTTGAAATCTCAAGATTAATGAAGAATAATTAAGAAATTTAAATTTTATCTTTTAGAAATTACGTTGGTTTCTGTTTCTACACTATCGATCTTTTTCTCAAGGTTTTTCATTTTCTTTTTAAAGAATCCTCAAGGTTTTCAAAAAAAAAAATTAGAATAATAAGCTAGACTGATATTTTTCATATTTTTGAACACCTCATTATTAAAATCAAAATAAAATAAAAGTACATCCAAGAAGGCAAGAACTTTTCAAGTCTTGCATGCATGCACCATATGGAAAAAACTTGTCTACATCCGTGCATGAACTTATTTATAAACCAAACAAATGAAATTATAAATTTTTTAAAAATTATTTCGACTTTTTTTTCGACTTTTTTTTTCCAAATATATGATCAGAAATACTCTCATTCCAATAAAAATACTAAATTTTATTAGTTTAATTTATAGATGAGGATATAAACAGAGTCTAAATAAGTTTTTTCCTGCACCATATGCCACGTAGGGATGTTATTAGAGTATCGATCTGTATCTTTGGGCAAAGGATGAAATTTATTTGCCTTTCACTTATAACCCTCTAATTAAAAAAGTCGATCAACAAGTGAATAGTTAAGCTTGAAAACGACTAGATTGAAGTGTTGTGTCAATTTCAGTCACTGTCTGGAGACTTATGCAAGTCTTTCTTTGCCTCTAAATTCTTTGATAAGTTAACCATTATGCTACGTTTTCTTTACCGTCATGCAAATATAATATAAGCCTTCCTACCTCAATATTCATCCAAACCATAATTTTTTAATGAATATGATATTTAAAATCTACAAACTAAGAAATTCGTAGCTAAACTTTGTCTGGATGTCACTTGTGAAGTAGATGGAAAAAGAAAAACAAAAGTAGAGAAAAATGTTGGTTTTGACAATAGTTACGATCGAATTGACAATTACATTAAGAAAAATGATGATTTAATTACTATAACTGGCTAATAATAATTCTTTTTTTAGTTTAATGGGTTAAAAGTGTACATCGATGTATATAGGTTAATAAAGGTTAAAATTGATGATTTTGAAGGTGAGTTCAAATTTCTTTAACATATATATCTTAAATATTATATTAGTTTTAAGTTTAATTCTAAATTTTCATGAAACAAACAAAATATAATAAAAAATAAGTGCAACATTATTAAGTAAAGAAAAAAAAAATATATTTGGTCGATCATTTCTCTTTATAGTTATCTCAATAATTATTATAATAAGGATATATTCAGGAAAATAATTCAATGGACAAAAGTATTCTGATTAATTTTTATTATTTATTAAATTATTAAGTTTTTGTTATTTTTTAAGCTATTTATATTTATTAGTATTAGTACTTTATTGAGAATTACGTTGATAAGGATTTCATATGCTTATTACATGCAAAGGTTTATTTTGCAAATCACTATAATCTCCTGATTAAAATACAATCAGATCTTGTTCTAGAGATTGTGTTTGAGTTGTGTAACAACAGTGATCATGTTACTATTGATTAGGTTAGGGGATCGATAAATAAAGCTTCTCATGCTTTAGCAATATTATCACGTTTCTATACTGGTTTTCATATGTAATTTGAGATTTCTTATGATGAATCTCTTTTTATTTTTGGTTGTATTCATTAATGAAGATTCCTCTTTTTCTCTAAAAAAAAAAAAAAAAAAAAAAAAAAAAAAAAAAAAAAAAAAAAAAAAAAAAAGAAATTGAAACATCTGGTCAAAATCAGTCGCTCTTTGAAGACTTATGCAAGTCTTTATTTGCTCCACAATTCTTTAACAAGTTAACCATTATGCTATGTTTTCATTCCAGCCAAGCAATTTTAATCTTAAAGTCCAGCCAATGACAAGTCTTCACGAATCAAATTTCCTTCAACCATCATTATGGTCTACTAATTGAAAAATTCATAGATAGAATCTGTCTGGTACGTGACGTGTAGATTAAACTAAAGATTTGTTCGGCAAATTTAGCTATTTTAGTAGCTATTAGTTATTTAATAGTTATTAGTTGTTTTAATAGCTGTCAGATGTTAGTTGTTACTTTTAGCTAAGTAACAATTAAAAGCAAAAGTGTTTTGATACAAATAACTGTTTGATTGACAATTAAATTTAAAATAACAAAAAAAGATATTGAAATATAGTCAATAAGAATTTATAGGTGGAGGTTTAACCATGTGGATTGTGGCCTGAACTTCCATATAATTGGAGATGTGGGGGATGAAATGGGGCTTGGTACCATTGTTGGGTCAGTCATGCTCATTTTCCCTAAATAAATGTTCAGCTTTTGCCTTTTCTTATCTTCCTTTTTCTTATCTCCCATTTTCAGGGACATACATTAATTTCAAATACTAACTGAAAATATGTATATAATGAACAATCATACAAAATATATCTTACATTTAGAATAAGTATCCACGTGTTTATATTTTTCTTTGCCATTCGTAAAACTAAAATTTTAAAATTAGTTAATCATGTGATAAATCAATTATGATACTGAGGTTATTTAGTGTCTATTTGGTTCCGTGATTATAGTTGCGACATTTTTTTTTTTTTGGAGTCAAATAAAACTTTTTAAATTTTAGAGGGGTTAAATATAGTTTTTTATATTTTTAAGGATCAAAATATAATTTTGTTTAAATACCACGCACCTTAGGTCCGTCCTTATGGAACTCCGCCTTATTATAGTCAACATTTGGTAGCTACTAATTAGTGGCTATCTGTTAAAAGGCTCATGCAATAATTGTAATTATAAATTTCAATTTTTAATGTTTTTAAGTTAAATACTCCTTAATATTAAAACACTATTCTAATTTTTGAATTATACAACCTTATTAACTTACCCTTTGTTTGGATGAGATTGTTTTTTTAAGGAGAAAAATAACTACGTAAATTATCTAGTTAAATGTATTGTCCTTTATTTAGAAAAGAGGACGAAAATATTGATTTCAATTATTTTTCACTCAGATCTACATGTTTTAAATTTTTCCAATTTGAAGAGAAAATAATGGAGAAAAATGAAAATCTCATTTATTTTTATTAAATTATCCAAATACCTCAAATCAATTAACTAACTTTAACCCTTCTTAAATAACTTACTATTTAAATGAGAATCAAATTGGCGATTTTTAATATAAATATTTTTTTCTCTAAAACTTTGTCATTTCCAAATGAAATTTATTTTCTTTCCTTTATTCTATCCAAACACGGAATAAAAAGTGACCATTGATTCAAAATTCATAATCCATCATTATTTTCCTTCTTTCAATATTTTCTTTCATCTCGTCTGTAAACAAAGATTAGAGTTAAAACCCTAAACTCTAATTGTTTATCCCTTATTCAAACATACTTTTAGGGTTTGTTCAAAATACAATTATGTATATTGTTGACAAATTGTTTTATAATGTTTAGGATGAAGGGAACTTACCATGCGATAAGTTAAAAGAAAAGTCAATTTTTTCAGAGAAAATATATATAAAACACAGTTTAAGAATGATTAACAACTCAATACCAAACTAAGCTTCAAGATTATTTGGAAAAAAAAAAAAAAAGGAAAACCTAAGATTAAAGAAATATTTATCGATATTAATTATCTTTCTATATAAAAAATAATATATAAAAAATAAAATTCCACTAATAGTACCATAGCTTGTTTTGTTGGATGAAATTCGATTATTAATTCAATTAATTTAACAGGATATGATGTTAAAAAGGTTCATAATTATTTTTCAATCTTTGGTTTTAGATTTTTATTGAACAAGTTGCTTTAATTTGTATTTACAAGATTGAATAATAATTGATTAATTAATTAACACATGTTAGAAAAGATTTATGATTAAAATTATAAAGTGAATTGGAAATTACTCAAGATAATTAAGGTATTAAAATGAAATTTTATTGCATTTTTAAAGAATTGATAAAAATTTGAAATTAGAAGTGATTAAATTTACCTATTATTTTGTCGTTTAATAATTTAAATTTTATTACTCTAGAGAATAATAAAAACCATTTGCTACTATTATTTGTTAATTTTTTTAAAAATATTAATTCATTAATAATAATATTAAGATTATAAATTCTCATATTGGAATTCCATATGAATAAAAATAAAATCATATTTATGATAATAAAAATAATCATATTTATGATATCATTAATTTTATTTTAATTTAATTCCAATTCTATGAATATTTAAATAATAAATAATTAATATTAAAATCAAACTCAACAACAAATTAAAAGATAATCAATTAAAAATATAAAATAAAACCCAAAATCAAATGTAAAATCAAGCCAGCTTATAGGATTGGATTTGGCAAACCAGACTTTTATTTTTGCATGAATATAATCTTTATCCAACTTTTTTAACTAAAATTTCTTAGTAATGGACAAAATAATGCTATCATTTTGGCCCCATCACCATGCAAATTACAGACAATATGAAGATAAAAAGTATTTTCGATTCCTTCTAGTGACAGCAAAATTATAGAAAATGCAATATCAATTTCCAAAATTTTTACTGTT